TTCAGTCCTTGGGGGAGGTAACATCTCGTGCCTCTTCCTAGGCTGCTTGTATTTCTGATATTTATTTCAATAAAATTACTCTCATTTATCAAAAAAAAAAGAGGGAAAAGAAAATTCAAAAAATATAGGAGCTGAAACCTTAAGAAAATCAGTTGCTTTTATCACTATTTTTTTTTATAAGTGCCTTTATCACTATCGATGGCTTTTATCACCAATTCTCATCCTCCATCATCATTGTTGGTTTTCTAGAAGATCTAGAAGAAATATTTTATTGCAGTTGCAGCTGCAGCTGCAGGTTGACCTAAGTATGGAAAACAATAACATATAAGCATAAAGAAAAATAAGAAACTCCATTTTCCATGCAGTTTACAATGACTAGGCAAACCATATATGTTGTGATATTTATCTCCAATTTGTTGGATATGCAAATCTATAGCCAATTTCTAGGCCCTCCCTCTTCTTAAAACCCTTCCCTCATGCGGGCATGCATAAATTGGCTAATCACACTTAACATAAGAAATGTCTGGCCAGGTCATACAAAGGTATAGAAGCTTCCCCAACAATCTCTAAAATACTCCCTTGTCGATTAAGAGTTCTCCATAAGTTGAAAGCTTATGATTCATATCAATAGGAGTGGAGGCAGGTTTGTCACCAAGCTTCCTAGTCTTAATGGAAGATCCAACACATACTTATGTTAGAAGATGAAGATGCCTTCTTTAGATCTAGCAACTTCAATTCCCAAGATATATCATAACTCCCTTAAGCCTCTGATCTCAAACTCAGAATTAAGGAACCTCTTGAGATCATTAACTTGTTGTATATCTTTGCCAGTAAATAATATCGTCCACATAAGCAGTAAGGAAGGCAACCTGAGTATCTCTCTTCCTAACTAGGAATGGCAATGGCGCAGGGCAGGGCCAAATTTTGCATGTCTTGTCCTTGACCCCGAACACAAATGCCCCACCCCGAACCCCACTGGGGCTAGAAATCCCAACCCTATCCTCGTTCTCGCAGGAAATGGGGATCCCCAAATTTGCCCCGCCCTGCCCTGGTCATTCCTACTTGCATACTTACAAATTTGTTTTTTCTTTATTTTTTTGAAACCTACCTAGAAGGCTAGAACTATATTATATTTTGTAATATAATATAGTATAATATAATATATAATATTATAATAAAAGATAATATATATTACCATATATTAAAAGTTATATTTATTATGTAATATAATATAGTTTGGGGCGTGTTTAGGGCTGGAGTCAGGGTGGACAAATAGCATCCCCGGTTCCTAGAGTATTGGGTTTTCTTGAAACCTGCACTGAACCCTGACCAGGGCGGGGCAGGTGGTGGCGTGGAGTCCCACGGGAATGGGTCAAATTGTTATCTCTAGTCTTAATAAAGAGGGTATGATCTGATTGAGTTTGAGTGTAACCAAACTGAACCAGGGGGAATGGACATATCTACTTTTGGTGTTAGTTCACCAGTCAAGAATGCATTCTTAACATCAAATTGATAAAGGGGCCAATCACAACTCATTGCCAAAGCTAACCCATACACTTGGGTATACCCCTTGGCAACAAGTCGTGCCTTATATCTCTTAGTTGTCCCATCAACATAATACTTGATGGTGTAAACCCACTTACAACCAACAGGCTCCTTCCCAACAGGCAAGTCAACAATGTCCCAGGTATTGTTCTTATGAAGTACTTCTAGTTTAGCTCTCATAGCATCAGTCCACTTTGGTTTGGCCAAGGCTTTAGTTATGTACTTGGGAATGGGTTGTGAGGAAATATAGGCTAGGAAAGAATAGTAGGAAGGGAACAACAAGATGTAAGAAAGGTGTTTGGAAATGCAATGAGCTATACATTTCCTCTTAACTTTCCTCACAACAATGGGTAGGTGTTTGGAAGTGCATTTTAGGGTAGGCGCCTCGCCCAGGTCCTAGGCGCAGTCCATTCATAGCCTAGGCGTGCGCCTTTTGAAAATTCGATGCGTTTTCATTTTTTTGAGTCTAGTGGCTGGGCCAGGGTCTCTGCCCTCGGACCCTCGTGCCATGCCCCTTGAGGCCAGCCCAAACAAGTCCATGTTAGGGTCTTAAATTCTGAGTTTTCACACAAAAAATAATGATTTTATAGTTTTAATTGCTTTTAAGAAGATATTTGGTAATGTTGTCCATTCATTCAGCCTAATAACATATCTTCTTAAAAGCAATTAAAACTATAAAGTCATTAGTTTTTTGTGTGAAAACTCAGAATTTAAGACCCTAACATGGACTTGTTTGGTCTTGCCTCGAGGGGCATGGCACAAAGGTGGCTCGTAGAATTAGAAATGTAATATGTCACATTAGCTACTTGATTTAATTGAGAAAAAAGAGATTGTGGGATTTATATGCTTGAAAATGTTTTTTATGTTTGATCTCATTTTTAAATTCTCATTTGAATATGCTTTACATATTATGTTTATGTATTTTAATTTTAGATAATATGTTTTTTAAAACATTTATTTCAAAATTTAAGTTTATATTTTTATTAATTATCTTTTATAATTTTTGATTTTTTGGCTTTTTTTTGAAATTTTTTTGACTTTTTTTTTTTTTTTAAATTGTACGCCTTGCCTCAAAAAGGCACACACCTCGCCTTGTGCCTTGCACCTCAGGTGCAAAATGGCCCTTGCGCCTTTTTTGCGCCTTTTGCTTTTAAAACACTGGGTCTAGGAAGGAAGGTACTGGAGATGGTGGTGTAGGACCTATCCTCTCATTAGTGATTGGAAGCATCTGAAGCTTAACTGGAGGTGGGGTTGTCTTTGGCAGGCTGCTTGGGGTGTCTTTTGTAGCTGGTGAAGAGGTTCAAGTGCACGAATGGCTTAAAGCTAAGGAGAGCGAAGTTTTGAAGGCCCGCAGTCCAGTTGTGGATCTAAGTTCTGGTTTGGGTTTGGATTCGGATTTGGATTGCATCTGGTCGGGGTACTCCTTTGACAGTTTGCATTATCTCCTTGGGAGCAGGAAATCCAGACAGTTGGCGGACTTCTATGACATGGTGGTTGCAAAACCAAACTCTAGAGGAACATGAAGCACCGGAGGGGTACAAGAGGAAGAGGAAGATAGCAAGTAAACTGCTTTGATCTTCCAGATTCAGTTTTTTAGTGCCATTGTTGTTGTAGTCCTGTTTGGGCCTGCTGAGGTGTTGGGCAGGCTTTGTTTTTGGGTTCTTGTGGAGTCTGGTAGTTGTGGTCAAGCTTTTTTTTTGTTTTTTTTTTTCCGTGTTTTTTGGGCCTGCGGGGGTTGTGTTAAGCTTTTCTTTTTATACACCTTGTATACCCCTCCCTTTTTAAATTAATCTTTACCTTACCTTCTTCTTCTTCAAAAAAAAAAAAGAAAAAGAATTAAGGAATCCTACTGTAGGGTAGGGATGGCAATTTTCCCCATCCTTGGCGGGGACCCGACTTCCCCGACCCCATCGGGTCGGGGATGGGGATTGTTTTGGTGGGGCGGGGACAGGGATGGGGATTAATAGGAATCCCTGATTGGGATCAGGGTCGGGGATGGGGATTGAGGTCCCCACCCTACCCCGACCCCGATTATGTATATATATTTATTATTATTTGATTTATATTATATATTAAATATATATTATATTATTTATATTATATATATATCAAAACATAGTTAAAAAATTATTTATAATTTAAAATATTTATTTATTTTAAGTAAATTTATTTTTCAAATAAATACTGTTATATATAAAAAATTTCAGGGATTCGAGTCCCCGTGGGGAATCCCCTCGTTGGGGATCGGGGATGGAGGACAAAATTTATCCCCGACGGGGATCGGGGATGGGGATAGGGGATACTTTTACAATCGGGGTTGGGGACGGGGAATATGTTCCCTGCCCCGAACCCGCCCCGTTGTCATTCTTACTGTAGGGTGTTGAAAGGACCTCATATAGTGATGGAGAAGCCTCAAGTTGAGATTCTCCAGCCTTTTCCTAGTGCATCACCTAAGACTGGTCTTCCATATGCCTTTCAAAGGGAGCTTAGACTACTGTTCGATGGTAGCACTTTTCAGCCATATTTGGATCCAAAGGGGATGTTGTCTCTGCTGAAGCAAAAGTTAGTCTCTTCACATGGGGATTCAGCTCACAAAACAGTCCTAAACTGCCTTAATTCCTTGATAGACCAGCCATTTTCTTATGGCAAGGGTTGTCAAAAATTTTGTACATCTATTTGCATCCTCCTCTCGTGTAATCACTTTTTGCCACGTGTAATACAATCAATAAAGTTACTTCCTCTTACTCTTAGGAGTAGAAAAAGAAGAAAGAGAGAATAGTACATGCATGTAGGAAAGATTAACCATTAGAGGTCTTATATCACCATTACCTCTTTTCTCAACACCACATGGAGGTGGGGATCAAACCTGTGGAACTTAAGGCTCTTTGCGGTATGGTTGGTGGACCTCCCTGAGTCCCCATTGATGTGTATGAATACCCCCAAAAAATACAAATGGAGGCAGTGCATCTAATCATGTTATGAAATAACTAGATGCATTTATTAGCAAATCTTTGATATTCATCAGTTCAAATCCATGTGTTGAGTCTGAAGGCAATCTGCTGATCTTAAGTATGTATTTTCCTTGATAGTGACAATTCCCTTGATCATGATTTTTAGAACAGTCTGTGTTTCTTTGATATTAGTCTCAACTGTATAAATAATGCCTTCTGTTCTCTTTAAATTAGGTATTTCTATCTAGGGCCAAGTTGCATACTTTTCATGGTTCAAGCAGAACTGCATTTTGAGCTTTTATCTTGGGAAAAAGGAAGAAATAAGTTTTATTTCAGCATCATAAATTATGAGATTCAGAAGTGAGCTAATGGTTCTAATTTTGCTATTCAGTTGCTGGTTGGCCCTCTTCTTTCTGTGCTACACATATACAGTGTGGCTGAAGAAATACGAGCAGCTCCTGTTAACACATTGAATCCCCAGAGGACAGCAATGGTTGTGGCTGATTTTCTTAAGGTGTGATTGCAAGCACTGACCTTTTTTATTATTGTATTTTCTTATATGTTATATCATCTTATTCTTTCGCTGGACCAAACTAGACTGGAAATGTATCGAGCCCTGCAGACTTGAGATATAGAGAAGATCTCTTATTTCCTGAAAGAGTTATAGAAGATGCTGGAAGAGTGAAGGTGGGCAGGGCGTTACGCAAGGTTGTTAAACCTTCCAAATTTAATGAACTTAGAGAAATGTTCCCCGAGGAGAAGTTTCTGATAAGCCGTGGAAGTAAATGGACTGACATGGTGTTGGAGCACAGTGCAACAGGTGAAGATGCGTTGAGAGGGTGGCTGGTTGCTGGATATGCTGCAGAGATGGAGAAGTCTGGTCATGGGCTGAGCGATGTAGTCTTGCAAGAGGCTTATGTGAAAATGGACAAGTTGTTCCCATCATTTTTGTCTGAACTAAAGATCAAAGGGTGGCACACTGATCGTTTTCTTGATGGAACTGGAAGCCGTTTTGCATTGTAGTGTTGTGTATATTTGTTTATTCGTTTGTTTTAAACTCCTGTTATCCAATACTTCCTCAGACATGGTCTTTATGAATGCTTGAGTGGCATGTTGATCTACAGATTCTTTAGTTGGCCTGTTTTCACTGTTTGGAGGGTTTTATTAGGAATTGCCTTATTGCACTTGTTGGACTGAGTTTTATTTTTATTTTTATTTTACGATGTATTTAGGATGTTGTAACACTTCTGGCATTTAATCAAACAGAAGAGAAAGAGAACCGAGGGGAGTTAACTAGAAATTTTAAAGGTGTTCTCCAATGAAATCGGATTTGCTCTTCACATAGTGCACCTCATACCAACGTCACAGCACATCGCAGCCATGTATTGGGAACATCTTGCCACGAATGACAAAATCAAGTATGGGAGTTGTTCTCAATGCATGGCTAAAAGGGCTGTGATGGTGGTGTGTCTGTGAGGAAGCCAAAAACCAGTTAAAAAATTGTTTAGTAAAAAGGCTCAAAAAGTTTGCATAAAAAAAGCCCATTTGAAAAACCAGAAAAAAATTCCATTTACCTTAAGAATCTATTTTGAACAAAAAAGCTTGTGACCAGCCAAAATTAAAAAGTGCTTTTTAAAAGGCCCATTTCAAAACTAGGTAAAAAAACACTCCCAAATGCGGAATCTTGTACCTGAGTTAGGGTTAGTGTTAAAAAGTTAAAAAGAGAACATGCCAGAGAGCCTGAGGGTTGCCCCCTATTGTGGGGAGAGAGAGAGAACTTAATGTTTTTGGAAGTTTGTCATAGGTCTTTGGCCCGTTTTGGTTAGGTTCTAGTTGTCTTTTTGGAAGCTTGTCATAGCACCTCATTTTCTTTATTATCTGAATTTAATGAATGTTAGAGATGGGAAGGACTATCAATCTCCAGATACTGCTTGTAAGCTCTTATCAAGATTCACTCAGATGGTTTCATTGATAATAAGAAATCGATTTCTTCAATTCTTCCCCATCACCTCAATCAAACATAGAGCTGCAACTGGTAACCGAAACAGTAGACTCTAAAATATATATTTCTTCCTAAAATAACCAGGTTATTTTGTACTATTATCAAGCTGACCATTTTTGGTGACTGAGCAAAGATGTAATTTGAAGTTATTTATTTATTGCTTATCAACTTTCAGCAGCCAGCTATAACCTGGTCCCAATGGCCTTCTCTGATCCATCAGTTCGATAGATTGATTCAACTTCTTGATAAGCTTGATAGATTCAACCTTTTCGGAGATGATGCAATATTTGACACATACAATTAAAGAGTAAGGTTTGAGCATATCACTGTACAAATAAAGTATGTGTATTAAATTTGCATGTACATAAATTCTGGGAAGCAAATGAAAGTGTCTGATGACAAGATGTGCATGCGCAAATTGAAGACCTTGTCAAACTGGTACAGATGATTGCTTTGAATTACAATTTAGAATTACAAATCAGTTAATAAGTGCTACTTGCAACGAACTTTGATTTGTCGAACATGGGATGGGATGACAATGTATTCAGTATTCTCATAGATAATTTACATCAGGCCATGACGAAAGCCAGTTGGACTGAATCAGCACAGCATCTGAGCAATGGCCTGACGATGTTGGGGTGCACGTTTAAACATGGTTGTGCTTAAAAAAAACTCGTTACTTTAATTAATTGTTCTTCCACTTTCCACGGACGAACATGCTCCATTCAGAACCTGTGGTTTTCTCTTTTATCTAGCATAAAATCTGCATTTCAATGTAAGAGAAGAGGTGACCTATGATGTATCTCCTGGGTTAATTCTTTCTGGGTTTTCTTTGGGCCATGTCATATCCATAGCCCAAACAAGAGGGATAATGTTATGATGGTCTTTGCATTTTGTGCGTTTTCCTATTCTACTCTTTTTCAAGTCTAGCTTTAGTTTGTATCGCATCGCTTATGACTCTTCGTGATCAGGAGATATGAATGTAGTCTTCCTGGGCTGCAAGTTTATGATCAGAAGATATGAATGTGGTCTGTTGTTGCCCGTGACAGATGAAATCGCCCACCTTGAATAGAAAAGTAAAATAAAGAAAAGGTAAAAAGATAAGAGAGAAAGTAAAAAAAAGGGATTCTATCTTTTATTCTTTGACTGTTGTAAAAGATATAAAAAAAATGGTGGCAAAAGAAAAGGTTGAAAAAGTGTCTATTCAAGATAGGAGTACAGTGGATTTTAATCAAGGGTAATGAAGGTTGAGAAAAAGGGCTACTATAGGTTCATTCATTATCATTTATATTTTATTCTTCAGTCAAGTTTTGAATGGGTATCTTCATCAATCAAATATACAATTAACTAGTCAATAGTCTCAATTTGAGTCTTGTTAAAGCAATCTTATACATTAATCAACCAATCCATTGTTTTCATTTTCATTGAATGAATCCAAATGGATTACAGTGAGAACATTTAATTATTAATATAGAATATAGATAGATGGGTTCTGAAAAAATGGAGATGATACTAATGAGAGAGAGAGAGAGGNGGGGGGGATTGACTTGACCATCTATACCTACTCAGGGCCCCGTCTTCTCTGTTTACATCCCAACCTCAGAAAACACTGCATGATGGAATTGGGCCTCACCCACTAAATCCAAACAATCATATAAAATTCTTAAAAAGAAGTTCTAACCTATCATATACAATGTTGAGATAAAACTAGTACTTCAGATTTGAAGCGAAAAAAAAAACTAGTATTTCAGATAAATAATAACCTATATATACATACAGCTTTAACGGGATGACATAGGTCAGTCGAGGTCTATGTAATTAGGAGTGTGGTAGCGAATTAAATAAAATTTTCTACGTGACAAATGAAGTAGGACTCGATGCAAATATGAGGAAGAAGAAGCCTTTGTCTCTTTGCATAACCATGGATTATTAATTAGTAGGTTAATAAAATAATGTAATATGCACGTAGGACCAACATAAAAGGTGGAGTCATGCAGGCCCATCAACCTGGAATACTACCCGTACTCTGGGTTGGTTAATTGTTTCTTTGAAATTGTCTTCGTTCACTTGAAATCGACACAAATGAAAAATATATTATTTGATAGATTGGAACGAGTAAATGGAGAAAACGTCTTGGCTTGGTATATACTTTACTGCCATTGTTTTACTGACGACCCAAATTAACGGGCAGAGAGAGAGAATCGATTTCTTGCTCTCAAAGGATTGGATTGAACTTAGGTCCCGTTTGAGAGAGAGAGAGACTCGAACTGATTTTGATTCCAACTGATTCCAATTCTTATCTGAACCAGACATATTAGGGGAATAGAACATTCTGATTTTGATTCCAAAGAATTTTGATTCTGATTTCAATTTCAATTCTAACTGTGTACCAAATGGACCCTTAGAAGAACCATATTGAAACGAAGGTACATGCCTTTCTTCAGAAAAAGGAAAAAAAAAAAAAAAACGGTGCCATATCAGTGCCATCTTTGAAATCCTGATGTTTGATTATGTGTTTTTTTGAAAACCTTTTTCAGACCATGTCTTTGAAATAAGGAAAGGTGTGGTATGAGATATTTTTGGTGACTTCCTGTCTTTTTACAGTTACTAAAAACAGTATGCTACATGTTTCTATACAATCTTTCAATAGTCTTGCAAGACTATCATCACTTTCTTTGATACTTAAGAACTTAAGATTGTACAGAAATTTCAAAACAAATTAGAATTGTTATGCAAACTATCTTCACATGCATCTCTCTCTCTCTCTTTATGGCTGGATTCTGAGTTCTGAAAGCAATTAAAAACCCTGTGTACACTCATTGGGAAGATCTCCCCGTTTATGGGAGATGGTCCTGATGTGCAACTGGATTATGAATTCTCAGAGTTCTAGCAATAGCTTGTGTGTGTGCACTCCTCTCCTGTCCTAGAAATAAAATCTCCAAAAGCAAATTAAATATTAATTTCTTACTGAAAAAGTGAAAATAGTTACTCTAATTTGGATAAGCCCTCTTGTTCTCTATGTCGTCGTCTATCAACTTCATTACCTTGGGAATTGTGATCAAATGACTAGAATTGGGGGCTCTGGGAATTCCTTAAATCTCATGATGAACTCAAAACAATTATACATGCATTTGCCGTTGAGCCATTCTACCTATGGATTATATTATATCCATTAATTTTCAAAAAGATGAAAAAAGTGTCTAATTGATCAGCAATTTTAAAGAGTAATGGTTTGTTTCGTATAGAAACTTTCCAAACACGGTATAATTAGTATAACCATTCTATGTGATCCACACAGTTCAAATTGAAAATAAAACGATGTACAGCTGCAGAAATTGAACCAGATCGGTGGTTATGATTGGGAAAGGTCTCAAGGGTGGGATGTTATTTCAAAATAATGCAAGAAAACAACAGAAGAGGTCGCTTTTGCAGATCATCCAACTCGTAATGAGGCTGGAGAAGAGAACAAACCAGCTGATGTGTGAAATTAGTTATAATTATGGAAGAGATACAGACTGGTATAACTTCAGTCAACTTTCAAAAAGGCTTTTAATTGTATCACTACCACATGATATTTGTCTTTATAAAGCCAATTTCTGAGACTAAGACCTTTGATTGTTTATTTGGTTCTTTACTAATAAATATGTATGTATTGTGTGATAATTTCTTTCTTTACTAATAAAGCATGGTGTGCTAGTGGATTTAAATTTATTTTTGTTTAATGCGACAAATATATAATATCAAAGAGTTGGGTTGGTCAAGGGCATCCCCATGGACCATTGACCACCAATTAGATGCCAAAATGGTTTTCTTTTCAAGTTAGTGTAATTTTTTATTATATTTTTTCATTAACAAAAACTCTTATTTTAATAATTTTTGTCTCTCTATATTTTTAAAATTGTATTATTTAGTTATTACATCATGGGTTAACCCATTTGACCTAAAAGTTTGAACCATTGACCCACCACTTCAATAGGAAAATAGTTTTATTTTGGGTCAGTTGTAAATCTTGTATTTTGTTTCCATTATTTATAAAAATACTTCTTATTTATCATACTAATTTCTGTTTAAATTCACAAAATTTTTGTAATACTAGCAAATGTGTATGTGTTTTACGATTTTAACGATGATGATAACAATAGTAATAATGTGTCCAATTTTTTTCCACAATTTTTTATATTTCTTATCACACTTA